GCGAGGCCCAGCGCGCCTCGTCGAGGCGGTTCAAGAGTTCGCAGCGTTGCTCGCGGCGCAGCTGCAGGCCGTCCTCGCTGCTGCGGTTGGTCACGCGGCCGTCCAGCGACACGTAGCCGTTGTCCGTTTCGGTCGACTTGTCGATGGACAGCTTGGACTTCTTGGACCTGCAAATCGGATGTTGATCGACTGACAATTTCTTCTTCGACCGAGTCACGCAAGGATGAGGACGAGCGGAGCAAAAATGCCTCCCGTTGGCCACTCCGAAAAAGAAGGAGGAAGGGAAATACACACCCAGCTTTACAAAGATCATGCCAGAAATCGTGGAAGAGAGTGCCCAGGCTGTTTGTGGCGCAGGCCGAGTAGGAGTGCGCCACGCCCTCCTGCGTGTTATCGGTCGTGCTAGAGCCGTCGCCTTCCCTATGCACCTCCATCTGAGAGGCCTTCCTCAACTTCCTTCGCTCGGGAAAGAAGAAGAGAGAGTAGAGACACACTTAGTGGCCGCCTGGTGGCGGGAGCCTCGCGCACGAACCCGATTGTGTCTGCCATCATCCCGTGAGCTTTTCTTGTTCTCTATGAATCAAACTACTGAATAAGAGACGGGGGGGGGAAGCCCGTTGGGATGAATGGGACCTTTCAGTTGACGGCATTCGATGATCCCGCCTGCGAGTGGAGAAACTTCAAACCCACGCGCATTGCTCAAGTGAAAGCACAAACACTCCCAAAGCACGCAGAAAACATTTGCCTTCGTCATAAAGACAACGATAATCAATTACAATGTTAACAGCGGTGAAAAGATTGACAATTTGGTATAAAAACCAAAATCTCAATTTGAAGCAATGTCCAAAAGGCATTGAGAGAATCCTGCCGCCGCCGCAAATGAAAAGAAGCTATTCTATCATCAAACGTTTCGTCACCTGCGTCTCTTGCCGCCGATGCCGGAGGCCGGCTTGGGCGTCCGCGTGGAGACGATCTGACAGTGGACGGTGCCCAGCAGCAGCATGAGCCAGATGGCGCCGAACACCTCGGTGGCGGGGATCCCGTGAGGCTGCGGCACGGTCGCGTAGAGGAGGGCCGCCACCACTGCGGACGGGGTGCAGGTTTTTTTTCAACAATGATTTGGTCTTTTTGTATATTTTTTTGTGTATTAAAAAAAAAAAAAAATCAACAAAAAAAAACATGTTGCACTGTGTCATATATATATGTTTTTAATCTAAGGGGGCGTGGCCCTGAGGATAGAAAATGGCCGTGATCGATCGATCGATTGATTGATTTTTCACCAGGACAAACGCACAATAACCCGACCGCGTCTTGTGTTGGCTGACCTGATGGAAAGGGTCATCTCTGTACTCCTTCTTGGTAGGGGGGCACACGGGCGCGCCTCCTCCTTCTCCGTCTGTCAAGCACAAGTCTCGCAATGAGGCGCCGTGCGAGGAATCGGGTCGATCTCGTGACTCTCTAACCCGTCTCCGAGGTGCAGGACGACCTGCACTCGGCGCAGTGCAAGAAGTCCTCCCACAGCAGGTCCTCCGTCTCCGACTCGTGCCGAGTGCTCTCCGAGTCCGGAGTCCTCAGGCTGGAGCACCGGGAGCTGCAGCTGGTGCCCGACTTGGGAACGTCCTGGTGCAGAAGAAGCACATTGAAAAGGGGCAGGCCCGCCAAAGTCACTCATTTTTGCCCGACTCTGTGAGTTGGCGCCACCGCACTTTGCTAAATAGATGATTATTTTGCAATTCTTAGCATGTTCGAGCTTTTATGAAAGCAAAAAAAAAAAAAAAGTGTTCACCTCCACGATGTAGTGCTTCTTGTAGTGTGTGTTCTTGCGGTTTCGCAGCGCACAGTCGGCGCCGAGTCTCTCGACTCCCCTGCGGAGGGCGACGTAAGACGCCTCGGGGTCCTCCTCGCTGGACGCCTCATCCGACGCGGCCGCCCCCTGTCGCACGCCGGCGAGAGTCATGACAACGCGGTCGGGGTGGTGGGAGAGGGCGGGGGGGGTTCGCGCCGCGGCCGGTGTCTCACCTTACTGGCGGCGGCGAGGTGGTGCAGGGCGACGCCGCGGACGGCGTGCGCCTGCGAGGGCGGGCCGCGCGAGGCCCAGCGCGCCTCGTC